GGTGTTTCTAATGATGATATCAAGGTAATTTTGTAGGATTTATGTAGAAATATGCAAAAAGCTTCTATTTGTGGAACATTAAGAGTGTCTGATTTATGCAGGAGCTGTTTGCAGAGGTTGGTGATATAAAGCGAGCATCTATACACTATGATAGAAGTGGCAGATCAAAGGTACTTGATTTGGGAATAATCTCATCCTTTCAAGAAATTTTGTTACTTGGTGTAGTTAATGAGAATTTTTTTCATTAGGGAACTGCAGAAGTAGTCTTTTCAAGGCGTAGAGATGCAGAATTGGCTATTAAAAGATATGATAATGTTCAATTAGATGGAAAGCCTATGAAGATTGAATTAATAGGAACAAACATGGGAAACGATGGTGCTGCTCTCATGCCTCCTGTTTCCAATTATGGAGGGCAAAATGGTCCACCCGCAAGGTATTATCTCTTTTTTTTTTATAGCAGTTTGATTTGTGATCAATTAGTGGACTCTTTTTGTCTTTTTATTTGAGTTATTGACATGTAACTTTGGAAACAGAGGTGGAGTTATGGGGAGACTTAGAGGTGGTGCTCGGGCAATGAGGGCGGCAGGGGGTGGAGGAGGAGGTGGTGGTGGTGGTGGTGGTGGAGGAGGAGGAGGTGGTGGTGGTGGTGGAAGAGGTAGGGGTGGTGGCAGAGGCAGAGGAAGGGGTAGAGGGGGAGAACGAGGTGAGAAGGTGTCTGCAGAAGATTTGGATGCAGATTTGGAAAAGTACCATGCTGGATCTATGCAGACAGATTAAAGCAAGATAGACAGATAAAGTTGAAGGGCAGTTTGGGGTTTTCCACTTGAAGGGTGAAGAGGTGTTGTTTGTATTCTTAAGTTTTTTTTTTTTTTTTTTTTTTTCTGTTTACCCTTTTGCATGAGAGGATATTGTAATGTTTGAGATGCTGAATGTTTTATTTATTAAAGCGGTTGTTTGTTAACTTGGAATATGTTTGTTATAAAAGAAATTGTAACTGTGCATATGGATCTCATTTTAGATGCTATAAATACTACATATTTTAACATGAACACAGGGGTCATGAAATTATATTTTGCATTGGTAGTTATGTGTAATGTTTGCTAAAGATTGAATGTCAAAGAAACTAACCAATTTCTATGCACAAATTAATATTTTACATCTTTGTAGCATTAACCAAGAAACTTGGACAATAAAATTTGCTTTGAATTACTGACTACATCTCCTAATGGTTGACTCTAGCCTTAAGAAGAATATTTTGTATAAATAAATCATTTCTTAGTCTTTAAACTTTAATCCACGTATTAACGAACCGCAGGAAAACCAATCTCATATATAAGTTAACCAAAATTTTACAACATTTTTGCCGTCAGTACGAGTCTAAATTATAAAATAATACAAATCTCACCTTCAAGTTTATCCCACTATTCATAAAGCCTCGAAAACTTAACAAAAACACAAACCATTAAATGCAAAAATTATAAGTGGCCTCAATCTCTGCGCATTTTCTTCTGCAACTTATCTTGGCTCCGAAACCTCTCCCGTCTTTCTTCCCTTTGACGTTTCTTTGTCACCACTTCTTCCTTAGCTTTCTCCACATCATACTTTTTCTTCTTCTCCATTTTCTTCATTTTCTGCTGCTTCATCTACAAATCACCAAAACAAAAAACCCATCAAATCATTCCCCCCTAATAAAAGTTATTTTAACCACAAAAAAGAAAACACAAACCTTATTATGCCTAATCAACTGCAAATGCTGCACCAGTTTATGAACATCTCTCTCATGTGGTTCTGGAACAACCGCCCTTCCATCCTTCTTTGTCTTCACATCCTTCGGCTTTGACCGGAATGGCAACGAACTTTGCAATGATTTCGGGACCACAACTGGGTTGAACTTCTTCAATGGTCTTTCTATCCTCTGTATTACAAAATTTAAAAAAAAAAAAAAATGTAATTTACTTGGTTATAATTTAACTTTTCTACCAATATATATATCATATACAAAAGATTTACCTTGTAGTGGGAATCTTTGTTGTCAGGAATTGGAACATTATATTCTCTTCTCAATTCCGCTACTGTTCTCACACCGCGCCAGGTGTCGCCACGTGGTTGCAAGGCGGTTGTCAACGGGTTATAAAAACACGGTACATCAACTTGAGTCCACGCGCGCAAAAATACAATATCACTCATTAAAATCTTATCTTCAAACGTACACCTCGCTATTCCTTCTTCAACTTTTCCCCCCATCTTTTTCGGCTTATTACCCAACTCAATCTTTCCCACCTGTCAACACATCCAAAAATTTCATAAACAATTTTCACACCCAAAAAAAATTAATTTTTTCTTTTTACCTTTTTCACTTGTCCACGAATCCCACTAACAGTTCGAATCGACGCGCCTTCGAATCTTGCCACTTCAAGGTCAGAAGTGAACATTTTTTTAATAAGTGCGGTTTTTTTGTAAATTTTACACGGTTCGCCAACTAGTTTTAGTTTTTTAACGATTTTTGCGGAATGGTTGAACTCTAGGACAACCGCAGTAGCTGTGATTCGGAATGATGCCTGGAAAAAGAAAAGAAAAAAGTTACGCTCTAGCCCTCTGAGAATTAGTAAAGTTACAGTTTTGTTCATTTTTTTGTTTACCTGACTATTTGAGAGATTTTGGACGGCTACGATCCCGGTGTTGGGAGGGGCGAGTGGGCCCCAGAACATGGCGAGGCAGTGCATGTGTTCGGGGGTGTATTTTAGCATACGGTGGCGCCCGTTTATGTCTTCAATGGCATATATTGGGAGTGTTTGGTAACGCCTCCATCCGATTGAAACAATGATTGGATCTTTTGTTTTTAGTACTTTTTTATGCCATCTGTGTCGCTTAAATCTTGCCTGAAATATACAATTTAAATATTGGTAGATTGTAAATAGTAATTCAAAAGATCAATTAATAAATGTTTTATTATTTTTTTTATTCTACTAACCTGCATGTATCCAACGTTTTCTTCAGTGAGACCGATTCCACCAATGAGAAGAGGATGACAAGGGTCAAAATGGTCAATCATTTCGTATGGGACATTATGAATTTCTAATCTGAGGTAGGTTCCAGTGCGGTGACCCTCTATTTCTAACCGTGTGGCCTCATCCAAGTCTTCCAGTTCAGCTATATTTCTTTGTCTCTGAAGCTCAGCTTCCTCTTTCAACTGCATCACCCATTCATGAATTAATAATAACAGAATAAAACTTTTTTAAAATTAAAAAAAAAAAAAATTGTGGAAAATTTTTACCTTGTCGATATAACTAACTTCATTGGCTTTGTTGTTATTACTCTTGACTTTTTTATTGTTGTCATCATCATCTTCATCAGATGAATCGGATTCATTGTATGTATGTAGGAATTAAGGGCACAAAAGCAATGACTTCAAAACCATGTGATTTATATAATTTATTAATTATTAATTATAAATAAGTCAAATGAAATGAATTTTTTAAAGGATATTGAGCATCGAATTTTGCACGAAGAGCAAGTTTTTTGAGCCTTCGTTCTTCAGCAACTGAGTCAGGCTCTGTTTTATCACCTTCATTCTTCTCACCTGTTTCCAAGTCTTCAAACTCACCAAACACAGGGGCATCATCGTCATTTTCACCGTCCACGTCAGCACCTTCGACTCGACGAGCAGCCTTTGACCAGTCTCCGGTTACAAAACGATCACGAATGCTTTCAATTGTTTCTCCATCTTTCCAGTCTTTTACATTAGCAAAGTTTGTGAACTTGGAACTATCTTCTGTATTTACCATATTGCCCTCCACTCCTTCGCTTGATTTCTTGTTTCCTTCACCTTTGGGCTTGAAAAACTCATCATCATCATCACTTCCATTTGCATCAACTTCTTCATGGGAAGAGGCATCTGGTTTTGTTTCAGACTTCCCATACACAAGTTGCATAAGATTAATGCTTTTTCTTGATATTGTCCTTTCAATTAATGATTCTTTCCATTTCGAAGCATTCCCTGCATTTTCTATTTTCATAAAAACTAATTTTTTATATTGCTTCAATAAAAACAAATCTAGATATGTAAAAAAATGGAGTCTTTTTGTACCTTCTAGATCTTCTTCCTCTTCCTCTTCCTCTTCTTCCTCAGAAGAATTTTGATCATCATCTTCTTCTTCATCTTCATCATCATCATCTGTAGCCTGTAAATATAAAGTATAAACAAATTACATGAGAACAAATCTTTTGATAAAAAAATATTTCATAGTAAAAAAAGTATATAATACCTCTTGATCATCAAGCTCGCTTTCGTTTCCAAAAACTGCTTTTCTCCTTCTTCTCCCCTCATGAATCTCAACTTCTTCCTGAATGTTATCTTTGACTTTTTGACTATCAGTTGACTTTTCATGAGGGTTGTTATCTTCATCAGAGTCATCAAGATCTTCTTCATCTTCACTTTCCTCTTCAGAACCAACAGTATTAGCTTCCTCCATAGGTTCAATGGAGTTATTGTCATCACCATTTGTAATTTTTCCACTTTTTTGACTAAAAAAATTGATAAAACTATTATTTAACTTCTCATCAACAGAATATTTCGTGTTTTGAAGTGATTTCACAAGATCTGCACCTACATCTCTAGTTCCTGAACCATCATCTTCATCATCTTTTTTAGAAAACTGAACAAAGTGATCATTAATGTTTATATAAACAGCATCTTTATCGTATAAAAGATCCCCTAATCCAGACATAGGTGCATAAAAAAGCTTCTCTTTATCACGTAACCCTTTCTTTTTTGCAGCTGAAGGTAAAGGGCAAGGATCAGGTAAACCTGTTACACCTGCTACATTATAATCTCCTACACCAGCAATATGCACTTTAGTTCCTTTTTTCATATTGCAACCACGTAAATAACCGTATAATGTCACGTTTCTATCACATTTTTTATTGTTTGACACTTTATCTGGAGGTGTAACATCTTCAAAACGGTCTACTAGAATGTAAGGATGATTGGTTCTCCATGAAAGAGGATGAAATTTCATAACAGAAATGAATCTTGCAAGATTATGAACTTCACGTTTCACATACCTGAAAATTATGTTACTTCAGTTATATATGTGTTTTAAATGAATAAAAAGAACATAGAAATGTGTAAAGAAACTTACTTTCCATGAATAAGACCAGATAAGTAGAATAATTTTGCTCCATCGTAAATTTCTGTCCAGAAACGATGTTTGAGTCTTTGCTTTGTCTTTTTGAGTTTCTTGACATCTTTGAACTTATCAAGATGTGTAAGAACACCCATAACTTTTGGGAATCCATGAACTTGCATGATGTTAAGAAACTCAAATGTTTCCTGAAAAATGTGTATGTTGCTATGAGGATTTAGAAAATCATGTGAAAAGTTATTAAAAGAAGTAACAAAAACTCACCATTTCAAAACCATAGCTTCCATCAATAAGCAGAAGTGCAAGATCAGCAAATTTAGCAGCATCAATCATACCATTGATATCATTTGGGCACTCCACAAATTGTAGCCTTCTTTGTTTACCTAATTAAACAAAAGGGATGTGTGTATCAAAACTCATGAATACTATGAGTACCAATTTCATAACATACGTTAGAATTTTTTTTATAAACATACCTGATACAATAGTGATTGGACCTCGCACATCTGGTATGTTATGCTTGGTGTAGTGCTTGATAAGAGATTTTATAAGTAGAGACTTTCCAACCTAAAATGAAAATGTTACAACTGAGGTTAATTTTTCCACCTGAGGTGCTTAAACTACATTGGATTTAAACTGAATTGGATTCAGCTGATTATGATTGAAGTTTGATGAGAACCTGAGGAGGGCCATGGACAACGATAACATAAGGAGCAGGTTCCCCTGTATTGCGATCAATAGTTGGAATGTGGAGGCGACGCTGCTCTTTCTCTGAAGCGCGGGACTGTAGACGCTTAGCTTTCACAGTTGAATTGAATGCGAAAGCCTGCATAACAGTTTAAAGGTTTTGTCAAACTTTTGAAATTGATGGAAACAAAACTCGACTACAAAGCTTTGAAATTTGACCCACTACAATCATATTTACTACATTTTGCTCCAACGTTCCAACACTAGGGCACCAATTCGATCTTGAGAAATGGTATAGATGGTGGAAGATATAAAAAAAAAAAAAAAAAAAAAAAAACGGCTATGCATCATGAAAAAACAGGAAAATTAAGAAACATTCGGAAAACCTTAGGGTTTCGCTTCTTATCATCAGTGAGGTCGCGTTTCTTCTTATCAGTACTAGGGTCTCGCTTCTTATCATCGGTGAGGCCGCGTTTCTTCTTATCAGTATCGGATTTTTTCTTGGCTGAGGGGCCAGATTGACGAGACCTGTGAGTCTTCTGAGATCGCTCCATGCTCCCTGTGTGTGAGGAAACGGAGATTAATGGCTGCGACAGGGGTTAGCAGAGCTCCTTCAAGGGTTTAAGGTTTTGCGGCGGGAGGTGACAACCGCCCTTGCAAAATCTGAAATTACAAAAGATGCCCAATTCTAGCTTAAAAGGGTTCGAACATGGTCTTACACTTCGTGTCCTTCTAAAATTAGAAAAATATAAATATAGTCCCTTAACTTGTTGCCAAATATTTAGCACAGTTTAAAATATAAATCACTAGGTTAAAAACCCGTGGAAAGGAGAGTGTTGATTTTAAATAGAAAATAATAGATTATGTAATAAAATAATATATCATTAATTTAAAAAAACTTATGAATCTTGATATTGTATTTTTTAATAACTCTGTAATTTGTATCAATAAAAAAGTATGTTCCTAAATAAATTAAACATATAATTTCAAATACTAATATGTTGGATTTATCATTAATACATAAAATAGCAAGCTTAAGTGGCCCATTAGCCAAGGAAATTTCGATTTTCTGGCCTAAAGATGCCCAAGTTATTTTATGTTTTACTTGCAATTTATCAAACAATTGGAACATGTCAAATAATCACAAATCATCCAAAGGATATTTTCAAATGATACAACTTATTACTATTTTTTTAGAGAAAAAACATGCATTGGTATTTGATATTATAGCTTTTTAATCATATATAATACTAATTATTCATAAAACTCATAAAATTACTGGCTAGCATTTACAGGTTTCAACTTGCTTGTGAATTGATAACTATATAGTAAGGTTAACATACTATATTGGTGAATACACTTTTGTTTGCTCATTTAATCATCCAATTATGTTTTACAACATAAAACATTTTCCCCTTGCCAACCATTGTCAAGATGTTCTATACAGTTTTAAAGATACATGCTACAATTGACAATCCCTAAAAAAGACCTTTATACCCTTGGTTCTTCTTATTGCACCAGATCATCTCACCTATATTGTTCTTCCTTCTAATAAAACTAAAAGTCATCGGTTTATACACAAAGGTTAAAGCTACTACAATTAGAGTTCAACACCGAAATAAACTAATAATTCATCAAGAACTATAACAAACCTGATATGTAACCTCTTAAATAATTATGTCTCAAACAAATATCAATTGAGTTCCTTTTGGATTATCTCAATTTACTCATTTCACAACAAAAAGAAATAAATATTACAATCATGTGAGTTGTTAACGGATTTGGATATTGAAGAGATCAACACCGGCTATTAAAAAGAAATTTTGAATGGGAAGAGTAAACATTAAGGATTTATAAAAGAAAAGAGCTCGATTGTCAATAAAATTAGGTATTGAATCAACAATTCGAAATAAAGACAACCCAAAAAGCTCTTTCCTAAAATATTAAGGGCTCTTGAAAAAGTCTCATCATCATCATCAGAAAACACCATATAAATTGGCATCGCACCATGATAAAGAATCAGTTTCTGCTTAACACGTTTTCTGCACAAATTTATGATTTTTTAGGGTTAAATAGCAATGTGATTCAAATACAAAGCAATTTTCACTTCTATTATAATTAGGTAAATTATTCAAGAGTAAATTACACGAATGGTTCCTATGGTTTAGGGTAATTTGTGTGTTTAGTCCCTAACTTATTTTGTAACTTAGAAGGTCCCTACTGTTTGTTTTTGTTACACGCTTGGTCCTCGTCTTACCTAAAAAGACTATTTTGCCCGTGTTTTTTTAATTTATTTAAATAAACACACCCCCAAACCCACCCTCTCACATTACCTTACCTATCAAACCATTTTTTTCCTATTTAAATAATAGTATTTTTAGGTAAGACAGTGACCGATCGCATAACCATAACAACAGTAGGGACCAAGGGTATAATAAAAACATACAGTAGGGATCTTTCGAGTTAAAAAAATAAGTTAGGGACCAAACGTACAAATTACCCCAAACCATAGGGACCATTCGTGTAATTTACTCATTATTCAAAGTAAAAATAGAAAGATGAGAATTTAGACTCCCTCATTTGTGAAGGCAAAGATAGTTGAGGAAGGGCGAAAATGGCTTAAAATCACATCCATTGATCCTGTTCTTGTGAAGACAATGATAGGAGTAACAACAATGTTGGCTATTGTTGCATCATGGAAGACAAAAATTTCACCCATATGGCTCTACAAAAGTTATAAAATATATTTAATGATCATTTTACCCTTGCACTCCAAATTTAAAATATTCATTTATTAGTGCATACCTTATACGCCAAGTGACGCGAAAAAGAAACCGAGTTCGAGTTGACTCGCGAACTTGACACGATTCTTAACGCCACAGTGTGCATAACTTCACAGCTTTTAGTGGAAAACTGAGATAAGGTTGAATGTTAAAAGTAAATTAATGATTTAGTAAAATACATATAATAAAATTGACGATATTAATAATAAATCCATAAAACTTACTTTCCATGAGTAGTTTCACCTGAAAGCATGACAACATCAACACCTTGTCTTACTGCTATTGCAATGTCAAAAACTTTAGCTCTTGTTGGAGTTGGATGATCAATCATGCTTTCTAACATGTTTGTTGCTACTATAACTGTTTTTTTTTTTTTTGCAACTTTTGACACCTTCTAATAATATATTCCTATTTATTAAACAACAATCAATTATAAAATTATGTAAATTTAGCAACAAATATTCAAGGTTATTAATTATTAAAATCAAGTTTACATGCAATAAAGGAACTTCTTCAATTGGAAGCTCTGCTCCAAGGTCACAACGTGCAACCATTGGCTTAATACATGAATATTTAAAACTTAATATTAATAATAATATTATTAATGGAGTTAAATCAAATCATTGAAATTAAAATGCTAACCCCATCAGATGCGGAAAGTATGGAAGGAAGATTGACTATTGAGTCTGCACTTTCGATTTTTACAATCACACGGATATCTGCATTGCATCATACAAAATACATTTTCTAGAAGCCTAGTTAAAATAAAAATAAAAGGAAATATTATTTTATAATTTACAAAGAAACCTTACTTTTCCGATAAGCTTTCAGCTCATGAACCACTTCAGCATCCTTCACAAAGGAAACAACATATAAATCAACTTTGTTATCCACTCCAAACATTATATCTTCCCAATCTTTATTTGTAAATGGAATCAAATTTATAATTCAATAAAAGTGACAAATAGTTTTAAAATGATTATAAAATAGGATGAAAGTAAACCTATTATTGAAGGCAAAGTTGCACTTTTTCCATGCACGTTGAGATGTCTCCTTGATTTCAATTCTCCACCATCAATTACTTCACATTTTACTAAATCTCCAGTCTTGGATTTAACACCCAATGACATCATCCCCCCTTCAAGAAAAAGAAAAAAGTACCTTTATACAAGGGAATATCTATATAACATTTTATAAATTTTGTCACTTGTATCTTTTTTAGAAGTGTTAATGAGGTAATCTTACCATCAACCAATAGTATGTCACCAGGTTCAACATCATTTATAAAGCCATCATAATTTACACTGACAATGTTGTTTGTGTTGACTCCTCTTTTAATGGTGAAATGGAATTCTTGCCCCTCATGAAGAATAATTGGTTTAGCTACATCTCCACTTCTGACCTCAGGTCCCTAAAGCAACATGAGTCATATGAAAAATAGTAGGATGAATACTTTTATATGCACTTTTCTTCTCTTTGATTCTAGGCTTAATAGTTTAGAGATGAAAACAAAATACATACCTTAGTATCCAACATTATAGCTATGACTTTTTCATTGAACTGAGCATTGTATTCTTTGATAATATCAATGGCGTTCTGATGTGATGCATGATCTCCATGTGACATGTTAAGGCGTGCCATATTCATCCCTGTTTTATGTGATGCATGATCTCCGTGTGACATGTTTCTACAAGAAATATCAAGGAATATCAAAATTAGTTGCTTTTAAAGAAACCAGACATATACTTACAAAATTAAGCATAGATGGAAGGTATATTAAATGGACATTGCTTGACTTCTCAAATGCAGCTCCCATAGCAGATGCAAGACCACTTATACAGGTCAAAGTGGTAATGATTAAATTCTTGTTGCTGTCTTATAACCAAATTGTAAGATCCCTAAACAATTTCGCCGAAATAACAACACAACACAGTGAAAAACATGAAACAACTTCCATCTACTTTTAAGTTTTAACTCATTAATGCAAATTATTACCGGTTCCAGTAGACTAATTTACCTTTTCTAATATTTGCCAACCCACTTTTACTAATTATTATATAATCATTTAGGGATCAAATTATAATTTTAAAATATTCATATTCATGCTATCTGGAACATAACTGATTGTCAACGTAGAGTAAAATTGCCTACATGCCCTTATTTGGTCTATTACTTCCTTAAATTAATCGAAGTTTACCACTCATCCTAAAACTATCGGCACAACATATAATTACAACTGATTTCTTGATTCTCATTATTCAATATCACACATGGAAGCGATGTCAAAGTCTCAAGAGTATTTGGATTACCTGTGGAGATTTGGAGTGTAGAAATATACAGAGGAAGGGATGACAATGAAGTAACTCAAATGCCATGTTATGGTGCGTGATAGGGCATTACTTTTGGACTGAGGGTCAGGATTTTCGGAACAGTTGAGGTGTCCGGTGGAATATCGGTTTGAGATTTCGAGATGTCTAGAGGCAGTCGTGCTGGGGGGATTTTGAGGTTTTGTCTGAGTTTCGGGATATTTGGAGTTGTTTGGTTTCTATCGGGAAGATCATTAAGTGTTTACATGGTATGTTCCATGAGTCAAGTGTGATGTACCTGGTGGAATAGTCTATGGAGTAAATTGTTGGTATGCCCAATGGTGATGGTTTGAACCTTGAGTGGGGGAGAACTAGGTAATCAATTAGGAAGATCAACGATTCGTTCAAGAGCGGTTAAGGAATTGGTTATGGAGATCTGTGGTGCGGACACTTGAGACCTAGGTTATTGGTAGATGAGGCAGGGTGCAATAGTTGAGATTTGCAGGTATAGGTATAGATTGCAATCTATACCCCAGAAGAGGGCAACATTTGGTTTGTCGACCAATTTTAGAGTCGGTATGAGTAGCTCCTATGGACAGTGATCAGTAAAGGGTAGAGCTTCGGATTTTGTCAACGTGTTTTTAGTCGTTGACAATTCCCCGTGTTTCAAGTTGTGAGTTGAATTATTTCGAGGTTCAGAGCTGTGTGAGTGGAAGATCAGTGTACGTGACAAGACATCATGAGATTTTATGATGGTGTACCGGGATATCTAAGTATGGTGCCTAAAAATTTTAAATTATTTTGAGATTTGAGTTGTAAGTGGAGTATCGAGTGACTATTATTCCAGTGGGAACCCGTCGGTTAATTGTCGCCAGAGCGAGACTATCTAAGGGTGTACTTGTGTTGAGATAAGTATCTGGCTTACGAGAATTTGCATCAGGAGTGGTAGTGCATAAGCTGGGTGAGTGTAAGCACCTATCTATGTTGAATTGCGGAGCATGAGTTGGTGAACTCAGTGTGGTGATGTGTGATTATGAGGTTATGGGGTGATAAGAAAACAAACGGATCCGGGTGGAAGTATTCGCTTGGGATTATCAGGAGAAACCGTGAAGTGAGCCCATGGTGATTCAGTGAGCGAGAGAGTGTTGTAAGACTACGGAGAGCCGTAGCATCCATGAGTCAGCGAAAGAGAGTGTCGCGATACTGCGGGGAGCCGTAGTATTCATTTATTAGAGAGAGAGAGAGAGAGAGAAAGAGAGAGTGTTGTGATACTATGGGGAGCTGTAGCATTCACTGGATAGTGGGAGTGTGTTGTGATACTGCGGGGAGCTATGGTATTCATTAGTCAGTGAGAGAGTATCGCAAGACTATGGGAGAGACAGTAACACGTGGTAGTCGATAAGAGTGAATATTGTTCTGCCGGGGGGGTGTAGTATTCACTAGCCAGAGTACGGCGCAGAGGAATTCTTAGGCATGGGAAGCCTTACCATTTGAGTCTTTGGGAGCTTGGTTGCCGAACCAGGGGCGAGATAGGGGTCTCTGTGTCAGTTAGGAATTGATATATCCCAGGTTGATTGGGGATTATCGTAATCAGAAGGAATTGGGGAGAAGGTATGTGCTTAAATTCGTGAATCTTCAGTCATGAGTTGATTACCATATTGGAATTGAGTGGTTCCAATTCTGCTGTTGGATCAGACTCTTGAGCTTGAGTCTAGATTCGTTTGTGTATCGACTAGGCGAGATGAGGTTTCGGTTTTGTAGATGGGTTTCATTTTGGGGGATATTGATCTTCATTTGATTTTTAGACCGGAGTGGGTCAGTTTCATTGGTATGAGAATACTCGCGAGACGTATGGAACCAGTGGGTGTAGATGATTAAGGTCGTAAGCAAGACGATTTCAGATGAGTTGTAGCATTCGCTTGGGGTAAAGCAAACTTCATGATTGATGTGTCGCGATGAGTTGAGATAGTTATCGTGAGAAGGAAGTCGGTGAGACGTTTTGGTTTGCATTGAGTAGCCTTTGGAGGTTCATCTATTGGGTCGGGAGCTGACCTGGTGCTCAGTATTGAAGGGGAAATCTGAGAGGAAGCTAGGTCTTATGTCTATGGGTGTCAGAGGATGCTTTCAAGTGAGTATAGTCTTTTCTTGCGTTTGAGGTTAATTTTTGTTATTTATTCTTTCCGATAAGTTCTGATAATGGTTCGGGCGGTGGGTCCTTAGTGGGTTATTACCTTTCTGTTCCTCTTGAGTTCGACCGGGATCGACTAGAGAATCAGAGTTGGCAGAGTGTTCTTAGAGTCTATTAATCGATGGGAGATTAACATGATATTTTGCGAGCGTGGTCTGGTAGGGAGACAAACCACTAGAGTTTTATAGTTCGGAAAGAGTCAGATCGAGTACCGCAGCAGCACATGGGTTTGTCCTTCTTCGGGGTCGGGAGTTCCTGTTAGGATCAGGTGTCTTTGGAAGAGATTGTTGTATGATAAGAGGCCCTTTCGGTGGTGCTTTTCGGGTTATCGGTTTGATCTATGTGTTGATAAGGAACGATTTTGAGGGTGAAATCTAATTCAAGTTGGGGAGAATTGTAACACCCTATTTTTTGATCGTCCGTGATTAGGGTTCATGGGCTGCAAACCGGGCACGAGGGAGTCTCGGGGTTGTGACGAGTTGCTAGGAGCTTAGGGCATCTCATCACCTATCCGAGGGTATGAGGTTCGTGGGAATCGGGGTTATGTTGAGGAAGCGATGGCAGTTTGATGATTTGGCAAGGTAAGTCCTTTAGTTGAAATTGACGGTAACAGAGTAGGTTGGGCGTACGTGTGTGTACGCTTAGCGTACTCATGCGAGTGACATTTAAGCTGAGCCACCTAGTACGCTGGGCATACTAGGCATAGAAGAAAAATCCTAATTAAGAGGAGTATCCCTATATAAAGAATGAGATTGCCTTATTCCTGGCCACCATCCTCATTCAATAAACCCCCCTAAACCTTAGTCCTCGTTCTTGAGCTTGTGTGTGACCATTGTGAGCTTATAAGTGTTATTGTGGAGTTTTTAGAGTGAAGAAGGAGCATGGAATAGAATAGAGATGGAGTCCAGGCTTTGGATGTGAGCTTTTCTGTGGTTGGAGCATCATTTGGAGGTATAAAGCTCAAAACTTTCCCATCCTTTTTGTTTTGTTCATGATATGGTCCATTTTAGGGCTTTTGGTCCCAAAGCTTAAGGCTTTATGAGTTGTTGCACTTTAGAGCTTAATATATGTCCTTTTAAGTGTTTCTAGTGGTAAGGATCCATAAAAATGAGGTCTTGAACGTGAGAATCAACCTATGCATGAGATTTGAGCATTCCGAGTTAAGAGAATAATAGTTTTATGTGTTTGTGACCTTATCAGCCATGCAAAGGCTTAAAGTCACTAACTTTATGGAGTAAGAGATGTTAGGGAGTCCAAATCTGAGAATTGAGTTAAGGTCTTAACGGGTTAAGACCAAGAGAATGGACTAAAGCAAAACTTGACGTACGCCCAACATAAGTTCTAGTACGCCCCACATACTGGGTTGGAGTCCCCGATCAGTTTCATGCATGCATGAGTATGCTAAGCATACCAAGAGAGGTACGCCCCGCGTAACTTCACTGTGGGCTTTTGGGTTGGATCTTATCATGGGCCGTGAGGGTTGGGCCTGAATCTTTGGGCCTATGAATTAGAGACTATGAGCAAAGAAATATTATAATTTTGCCTTGGGCCCTTGTGTTGGGCTTGCCATTTAGTTTTGAGTGTGGGCCTCGGGTGAGCCCATTTATTATTAGGCCTTGGTGGGCCCAATGAGTTTTAGGCTTTTAATGGGCTGGTTAGTGGTCTTCCTTTAGACCTAATGAGTGAGAGTGTGGACTTAGTTTCTAAATGGGTTAATTGTGGTTTTGGCTTAGAGTTAGAGGTCGATGCGTAGCAACAATGTTATAGGGGCTGTTCATCATCCGATGTGAGTCTTCTCACTATACTTACCTTGAGTGGTAATTTTCATGTGTGACCAGAGGGTCTTATGTGCATGAGCCGTGTAATGAGATATCATGCTATTTGCTTGTGTTATGCTTTCTGTGTATTATATTGAGATGCCGAGTTGAAGGACCGGAGGGTCCATCTGAGTTGTGGGACCGGAGGGTCCCACTAAGACACATCGACCAGAGAGTCTTATTGAGTTATAGCCTCGAGTGGCTAATGTGCTGTGTGTAGTATTTTGGGGAACTCACTAAGCTTTGTGTTTACCGTGTTATGTGTTATGTGTTTCAGGTTTTCTCAGAATCGAGTGAAGGCACCGGCTCGATTGTACACACCAGAGAAGGAGTTATGATTTGAGGATTCTGGATTATTATTATAAAAAACAT